AAATAAAAGTTTTCCATATAAAGTTTTAAATTATCAATTATCTTTATTAGTACCATTACTAGTTAGAAAAAGATTTGGATCGAGGGGGTGTTTGGATTGAAACTTTTTTAGAGGAAAATATTATTTTTTTAACATTTAGATTGCTTATAAACACTCAAAGTCTTAATGTTTATTTTTTAGTAATTAAAAATTTGCCAACGACCTAAGTAAGTCAATAATAATCTACTTTCATTGAAAGTAAAAAATCATGAATTCAAATTGCATGTCATACAGGTAAAATAGAATAAAAGATGTAAGATAATTGCTTTTTGTTGTGCAACTAACATAAAAAAAAAAATAATAATAATAATAATAATAATAAAGAAGAGAGAAGAAAGAAAGAAAGTGATAAAAGATATTTCTAATTGAGTTGAAAATAAGCTTTTTCAAACCAACCCAGAATCTCGTCTTCACTAGAGAAGGGAGCTTCGTATTCCCCTGTTGTGATCCATTAGTGGTCACTGCAGTCCAAAAGGGCTACCGATGAATTGCATCCGACCAATGATCGAACCTTGTAAAAGAATAAGATACTAACTTTTAACTTCTAACTGTTGCCCTGTCAAAAAAAAAAAAAAAAAAAAAACGAGAAGGGAGCTTTCATCCTTTACAATTACAGTATCTTATGCTTTAAAAGTAAAAATGATTTGTAACTAAGAACATAAATGACGCAGACTATAAAATCATATTACAGCATCTCATGAAAATGAGATTTTCCGTACAACTAAACTTTAATTCTTACGTGTTGTATAATTAATTTTTTTTTAACTTCTTTTGTTTCTTATACTAGCATTACTAAATCTGCTAATGGATTATTGAGACGTATTTGTCTTTTAAAATGAAAAAAATACCACTCGTGTTGAAAATAAATAGTAACATTCTATAAAAAATAATAATAATAATATAAAATATATAGGAAAACTATGATATTAGTGTATAGACATTTTAATAAGTTTAAGAGATTTTTTAATATTTTGTGATAATAATTTGTAAAATTAAAATTGTTCTATCAAATTTAATTTATTTGATTTAAAATGTAATTAATTTTAAGGTTAAATTAAAAAAATTCGCGTAAATATACAAAGTAAAAAAGTAATTATTATAAAGATAGGTTCAAATAGAATAAGGACAAAAATTTCCATACAAATGAAAAAAAAGAAGATATAAATTAAGTAAAATGTATTTAGAAAATAGACAAAAATTTTATAAAAATTACACTAATTATCATTACACAACTTAGGACTTTTACTTATTGCAATACTTTTAAAAATCAACATATTTATAAAATTATCACAAAATCAAATTTACTTTTAGAGATATAAAACAAAAAAGAGAGAGAAAAAAAAAAGTGAAATTGACTCTATTCTCCTTATTCCATTTAAGATGTTGTGCCAATAAAAATCTAAAACCTTCATACCATTCTCTTTACACCATCGATCCCATCCCCAAATTCCTAATTTCCACTCTCCAAAAATAAGTCATATATGTTCACCATTGACACTTGACAGCATAAAAAGTCTAATGCTTTTTTTTTTTTTTTTTGGTACATAAAGTCTAATGCTTTTAATTAAAAGAAAAAAAATTCTTCGACGAAATTCCATTACATAGCTAACAACATCAAACTAAACATACTTAACCAATAATGTAAGGATAAAATCATATGTTAAGCCTTTAAACTAATTCAAGATTCGCTCTTAAGTTTTTAAATTCTAATTGATGCACATAAACCTTTGGACTTTACAATTTGAACAATTGAACCCTTGTTCTTAAAACAATTTAACTCTAATTCTTACAGCAGTAAAAGAACTAAGGGTTAAATTATTCATATCGTAAAGTCTAATGGTTTATATGCATCAATTAAAGTTTGGGGGCTCAATTGTGAATCTGGGATTACTTTAATGGCTTAACATATGTTTTTGCCAAATCTAAGCTGCATCCACTACCCACTGCAGCATTATGTCGAACACCTTCTGATCATTCTTCCTACACTTCCACCAGAAACTCCTTATCCTTTTCCAACCTCTCCATCGCTCGGGCCTCCAAGCTAATCTCCACGTCGATGCTCCCACCGCCGCTCTTTCCCTGATACAAATACACCATCCCATCAAACCTGTTGTTTGACCCACTCCTCACGCCCTCCGGCTTCCCCCACCCAAAATCCACGTCATAAACCTTAAACCTCGGAGAGCTCCCGACGGCCACACAGTTCACCCCGGCATCTTTGTACTGGAAAATCTTCGGCGCACTCTCCCACTCCGTGTTCCGCGCATCAATTGCCTTGGCGTCGTGCGCTGCTATCGCTTTCTGAATCGTCGAAGCACAGAACTCCGGTGGGTTCGCCAAGAGTAACCCGGCGGCGGTTACAGTGAAGATGGCTTGGATCAGGTTGCCAAAGTAACTTTCCGGCATAGGTGGGTCGACCCGTTTCCGGCAGTCGGCGAAGACAGTGAAGACCGTGTAGTCTTCGCGTTCCAGGTTACGAGCGAGGGTCACGTGGCGCCAGACATGGGCGCCGAGGGACTGGAAAGTGGTAAACGGTTTGGATCCATCGGACGGCGGGTTTGCGTTGACTTTTGACTTGATCTTCCCTACGGCGGCTTCGGAGAATCTGAAGATCCTTTCCCTGAGCGGCGGGACGTGCTTGGCGTCGCCGTTGGAATCGCCGTCGTCTGAAGCATGTGGGTTAGGCGGCAGCGAGAGGTCGAGCTTCACGCGCGTGTTCCGCGCCTTGGTACGCTCGAGGAAGGGTGGGACCGTAACGGAATTCTGGGCCCACGAGCCCATGAAATGCCACGTGCTAGTGCCATCGAGGATCGCGTGGTTGAACGCGCATCCAATCGCGAGTCCGTCATTCAGCTTGGTCAACTGCGAGCAAAAATCGGAGATCGGACGGTTAAAATGGGAAAAAAAGGGAAACGGTGATGATGAAACTCGGGAGATACGTCAACGGTCCAAAATAAAATAGAAACCATTAAAGTACAGATAAGACCTGCCCAATGGGTCCAGTGGTCCAGGCCCATCTAATTATTTATTCTGATTGGATTGGGATTGGAGTTTCGGACCATGTGATCCATAATGAGAAGTAGAGCCCACTGCAGAGGAGCAATTGAGATTAAATTGAGATTAAATTGCAGCCCGTATTTATTGGTAACGGTTTTATTGGGTGTATTTATTATATTTTTTATTATTATTAATTTTGTAAAAAAATATGATAATAAAATTTATTTTTAATAATAATATTGTATAAAATGATTTAATTGATTCGTTGAAACAATTTAATTAATTTATTAATAAATTTAAAGTTAATTTTTATTTTTTTATAAATTAATAATAAAAAATATAATAATTATACTGTACAGATAAATTAAAAAATTCATTTATTAAATTGTTCATTTGAGGACACAATGCTCATAAATCAGATGGAAGTATATCAGATCTTCAATTGAGTTTTATGGTTTTTCATTTTCAGGTAGCGAAGAAATAATATTACGATCTTCAAAGTCAAAAAGAAAATTAAAACCTTAAGTTAAATTAACGACAAATTAGTTCAAGTGTTAAATAACAGGTTGAGGATTCACGGATATATATATATATATATATATATATATATTTTCACCTTTAACACTATGGAGGCTACAAATAACTAAGTTGTGCTAATTTCACTGTTGGATTTACTGTATCTATGCAAATAGTTCCCTCGTGATAATGGGAGAAATATAAAATCAAGAGGTTTGATATTTACATCATGAATATTTTCAATATTTTTTAGATTAATACCCTCTATAATTTTAACTCTCAATTAACATGTTTTAGAATTTAAAACCTGTAAAAAAAGCTATAAGTTAACAATAGAACTCCCTATTTGCACCCTAACTTGCTCATGACCTAATTAGCAATTTGAGGTTTTTTATGAGTTTTAAATTATGGAGGATATTAAGCAAGAATGAAAATTATGGAGAGTGTTGATCCTAAAAAAAAACAGTAATGTTCAAAGTGTAAAAAAGGAATTTGGCCTTTCAACAAAGAAAAATTCAATGCAAAGAAACATTAAAAAAAAAATTGGAGGAAGAAGAAGAAGAAGAATTTGATGTAAATATTTCATAAGACTACTCTATTACATTGGCCTTTGACTATATATAATACAATTTACATTTTGAATCAACTCCAACCAAAATACACCATTAACTTAACAACTTTTATGGTCAAGATCCATTGACTCTTAAAAGCTTAAACTCAAAGTATTAATAGTAATTGGTCTCCACACTTATTTACCACTCACAATCGTACTCTTCTTCCGATGTGAGATTAGGGCATTAACGTTTGATGTCTTTGTTAAGCCCACTTAAGTCCATTCAAGCTGAAACACAATCACATGATCCACCCCAAACAATGTGAGATTTTGGGAGCCAAAACCCAACCATACCACCACCATATACTCTAAAATCTTGTTGGACCAAGGGGGACTCCTCCAGTGGGATGTATTACGGTCCTAGCATGATTTCACACTAGTAAGGAGAACTTTTTTGATACCAGCTAAAATGATTTAGGTTGAAATTTAGCACTAGTTTAATAACTTTTCGACCTAAGGTTCACAGGTTTTTAAAACTTACACTTAAATTGTTAGTAATAATTGACATCCACATGTATATATCACTTACAATTGTACTCCTCTTCTGATGTGGAATTAAGGTGGTACACATTCACTCCCCCAAGAAACCCATATTTCACCCCATGAATTTCTAGGGAAAATTGTGTATAGTTTCAAAAGTTTCATATTAGAAAGTAGTTTTCACCAAACTTCAAGGAGTTTTGGAATTATCCCCAAGGGCAATTATTATCAATTTATTTCTACGACATGGACCATTGACCCTTCCATAAATAAATATATATATATATATATATATAGACCATTAATCCATTACACTTGAATAGGTGTCTCAACTTATAAGAGTTTTAGTCACTATATTAAAGGTCCCATAAAAATTATCTATATTATATAATTTGTTATCAGATGTATAAAATGTAAAACATTAACAATGCATTGTTTTTATTGATAATTATTTGCACAATAATTATAGATATTTGAATCATAATTCATAAACCCTGATATAAAATTAAGATTTTCATAAATAGTGGATCTTAGCTTGGTTAAACTTATATGGCCAGGAAAAAAAAAAAAAGCGTTGACTAAATTTGAGTGTCACTTGTCATTCTACTCCCTCCGTTTCGAAATATTACTCGTTTTAGCGGCCAAAATTTGTTCCTAATTATTTGACGTTTTAAGATTTTAATGCTGCATTAACTTTTTTTTTCCAAATTTACCCTTCCCAGCTGCCCACAAAGATGAACCAGTAAAACGCAAGAATCGAAGTGGAAAAAGGGTAAAATAGTACTTTAAATATATTTATTGCTCAAATTGAGAGTGATTAATTGCTTTTCTTAATCCTGATGAAAATGCCTAAAACGACTAATATTTAGGAACAGAGGGAGTAGTTGACATGTCGAGTTGGAAGGAGCATAGTTCACAAAATTTTTCTTCGTAACTCATCAATGCTCTCCTTTTCATTAATTTGCCACCTATGTGCCAAATAATAATAATAATAATAATTTGCCACCTAATTCCCTGTTTCCCCTGTTTTTTTTTTTTTCTTTTTCCTATTAATGTAAATTAATGACATCCTTTTGCATGGAAAATGAGGGAGAAAAATCGAGTCTAAAGTAGTAAAATGCATAGATCAATGTCAAGAAATCGAAGTATTAACTATTAAGATTTTACCTGTACTGCCAGCAATGGCCGGTGGAGGCCCTCCAAGTTCAAGATCCCATTGAAGGGAATCAGCTGCTTCATGGTGCTAGTAACTTCCTCCTCCGCCGCAAGATCGTCAATGCTGATCCCCTCCGCCACTGCCTCCACTACCTCGACGCCGTCCATTTCATCGTCATACTCCACCCTAAACACACCTTCCTCATCCTTCCCTAGCTTCCCAGCCAGCTGATAGAACTCCTCCAACACAACCCTCAGCCCATCCTTGAGCTTCTCCACCTTCTCCTCAAACCCATCTCCTCCCCTGTAAAACAGCAGCTTCTGGTTATAGTAAAAAGCCAAATATGGAAGATCAAAAGTGACCAATTGACACTCTCTTCTTCCGATGTCCTTCCCCGGCTTGACTTGGGATTTCCCGGTCACCTTAACCTTCACCATCTCATCTTTAGTCACAGATTCGGCTGCCATTTTTTAGGGAAGAAACGGGGAAGTTTGTACTCTGTGGGTTGCAAAAGGAGATAAGACTGTGAAGATACTTATAGAAGAACTAATTTTGATGTGGTTGGGGCAGCATTTATGGGTTTCAAAGGGAGCAGTTGTGACCCATTAATAATACCATTGGTAGTTCTGGTTAGAAGTTAAATGTTGCTCCAGCTCACTGTGTCACGGTCTTAATAACTCTTTCATCTCCCTTTTCCACTCTCTACATCAAGGGCATGGCTTAAATATGTATTTACTGTATATTTTAACAATTAGTTATCTTAAAAAATTATAAAAATATACAATCATTTCAAAGTTAATATCATGTAAATAATTTTAATTAAATATTTGATAAGTTTATAATTAATTTCTATTTTTTAGATAAATTAAATATTAAAAGATACAATAAATATACTTTAGAGCAGAGATTTGAAAAAATCTCCACAATATTACATAGCAAATAAATGACAATAAAAAAAAAA